TGATCAATTACAATTACGGAAGCCGGTTGGGTTGAGGTGGATGGTTTGCTTCACTCACCCAACCGACCGCTGTGTGAACTGGTGGTTCGAACCGCAAGACCAGACGATCGATTTCCACTTCCTATCGTTCAACCCGTGCCAGTAATCATACGCTTGAAGGTAAGACCTCGTTATTTCTTAGCTCGCACAAGATTAGACTATTAAAAGTTGTCGTTCGTAGGGGTGCGGCAGCTGGTTAACCGAAAAACAGTATTTAACAGACAGGTTTTGCACAAAAATGTTATCGCATTTAAATGAAGAAACAACTATTTTGACATCTGCTGATCTGAAAAAACATGAAAATTATGTTAACCGAGTGGAAAGGAATTAAAAAAAACTGAAAGAAATCAATTTTTTAACTCTGAATATAAGTAGTATGCCTTTTTGAAAAAATTTAAAGATAAAATTCAGGATGAAGATATAGGTAAATTGTATGAAAGAAAACATTTAGTTGTCGATGCAGGCGGAGACTACCAAAATTAGTTTACTTGGCGGTAGTGGTCATCAAAGGGAGTGAACTTTCCAATTTAACAGACTTCAAATCAGTATTCCTTACACATTACCGCATTAAGGTGCGTACTGACTTGAGCAAATTTGCGCGCACGAATATCGTGTGCGCACACACGCATGCGCGAATTATTTTGACTGCGAAAACGTGCGCGTAAGCTGTGCGTGAAAATTTCTGTTCCGTCTAGTAGCCGCTTATTTAGTTTCCGATCGCTGCGATTTTATAGCGTTGCCAAAATGTCCAACACCAAACAAAGTATAATAATAACAAGTGCAGCCTACATAGTGATGCATTCTTCATACGGAAGAAGAAGAACAAACGGGATAAGCGATGGTGGGTTAAGCAGCTGTATAAAAGCAGAGAGATATATAGTGGATCAACATTGCTAGAGGATTTGAAATTCCAANACCCTAGAAGACTATTCATTTTCTGTTTCGCTTTATGTTCTTCCACTTTTAAGTTATACGCAATATGTTCCCCTGCATCTGCTTTTTTGTTTCTTGAGAAGTGCTCCGGATGTTTGGCATTCCATAAAATCGAATATTTCTCATATTCATCTATTAATTGGAGCGCCTTTTCATTGTCCCACTTCATATTTTATAAAAGACTGTGCGCGAAAAACCTTCCCTGACCAAAACAACGTCCACATTGAGCACGTGTTTCCTTTGATGTATCGACAAGCGACGGATAGTATTCGTGCGGGAACGCGCTTACGCACACAACATTTTTCAGTGGTACTGACTTGAGCGCGCACGAACGCTGTGCGCGTAAATTTGCTCAAGTCAGTACGCACCTTAAGGCACGCGTGCGTGTGTGTCTGCCTACTATTTAGATAGTGACACGCTGTAATGGTTTTGTGAGTCAACTTCGGAGTTTCCATGTGCCTACTTTGCAGGTCTTGTCGCTGGTCTGTGCAAGGGTCTAAATCGCCTACTCCCAGGCGTTGACTGTAGGTCCATAGTATCTGGTCTGGTATTCGAGTCCCTGAACGAGTGGAAAGGCGAGCCGGTAGTGGGAGAGAGAGTGGAATTGCCAGTGGGAGCGGGGGTGGAGTTGATAGTGGGAACGAGGTTGTGACTTGCATATGATTGTTCAACTGATTTTTCCTTAAAGTATATTCACGGGATGGTTGTTCATGATACATCGTTGTCTTGCTGATGTGTGATGTTCATTCTCCCAACATTTCTGTATTCCACGATCGCTCGTAGCTTGATGAATTTTCTCAAGGTTTTATTTAATTTGCTTTTATACATGTATGTTTGTTACTTCGAGCCAAATCGTGCAACTGAACTTTCAAACACTCGTCTTCAATCGATTGAACTGAAATTTTGAATGCTCGTTCATTTTGGATGATAATGCATGATGAGCTAAGTGACATCATTTTGCATCATGCATTCCTATGATATGGGTATGAAATGAAAGGGTTTGCTGTAAAGAATACAAAAAATGATATAACATCACCCTGAACTGAATCCAGCGGTTAATTGGCGCAGTGGTAGCGCACCCAACTCACGACCGGAATGTTATGAGTTCGATTCCAACCTCGACCAGCTATTTTTCTTGAGAGAATTCATCTAGTTCAAGCCGAGACGATTCTACAACATTACATGGCTGCGAATTGCCATGATGCTTCCTGGGTGGCTCAGGGAGTTATTAACATTGACTACCCAGGACACGAGACTAATGACCAATGAAGTCGATGCCGATGACACCCAAAAAACATCACGCTGATTTCAAAATAGCGAATTAGTTCGTTTATGCATCAAATGACAGGGTTTGCTGAAAAGAGTAGGGAAAATGTGATGTCATTCTAAATTCATTAGGCACATGCCATCAAATGAAAGGAAAAAATTCAAAATATCGCGAAACGAAATGGTTTCTATACCAATAATATAGGGTCTTCAACAGGGGCTTCCGAACTTTGACAATTGATATTCTGTCATTTCTGTCATTCATTCAGTATTTATTAAGGACGGATATAGCATTCAACAACACGTACAAGTAATAAAATTGTTTTATCGAAATTGGTGTTCTGTTCGGGCAACGTATCGCGCGTTTCGCCCACTTTATTGTCATCATAACCGTCCTACCGACAGGATTATTCCCAATGTAGTACATACATTTGAATTCACTGATTCCTCAAACGATCGATCAATTACCGTACGTCGACGAAACGCAAGATCTGACGAAAACATCACCGCTGTCTGTAAAGAGAATCCGAGGCACTCGATTTCACGTCACTCACAAGAACTCGGCCTTTCGCAAATTACAACTTGGCTAATTTTGTGTCGTGACTTGTGTCCACCTGTACAAAATTCAACAGACCCAGGAAATAAAGGTAAACGACAACGTGGGTTCGCTGAATGGGCTCTGGAGCAGTTGGCAACTGACCCTAAGAGAGCCCGTACACGAGCCACATTTTGCGGTCGGATCGACCACACAATTGGAGTTGCGTTCCAGCGAACTCAAGCCGCCCATAAGAAATACTGTACTACACGTACACAGGCGTTCACAAAAGTCAAAACGGGCGTCTGCAGTCAAATTGCTGTTGTTCTCCGCCGAGATGTCATCGCGGCATCCGCCGGACACTAACCACAAACTTGCAGTCGTACCCAACCGCGTATACCGTCGTGTACTTTTTTTCATATTGGTCTCACAGCGTTCAATTTTTGATTTCAAGATTCTAATTAATTCATCAAGAGAACTAATGGACATTCTGAAGTAATTAAAACTTTAAACAGATTCTTTCAGGGATTTCAAACCAATTCATATCATATTAGACAATGGAAGTCCAAACTGATGGAATGCACTAAGAAACATTGTCAACTACCTTCAAACAAAATATAAAAATTTTCTTTCCTGTTGTCGCGCAACCAGAAGTGGATGTACCCAAATCAATCGTACCTTCCTATATCTTCTCCTTCTCCTCAAAATAAGAAGTAGTAGTGCTTCTTCTTCGAAATCCATATTGAAACTGGCACTAAACTCTGACACCACAAAATCTGGATGTCAATTGGCTCAACTGCAAATGCGGTTTATATGACCGCAAGTCGACCACAAAAATGTGGTTGGGTTAACCGCGAAGTGCAGTCAACGTGGTCACAATATTGTGGTTGCCTCAACTGCAAATATGTGGTTCATGTACGGCCGGACTAATTTTCATCGCAAATTCTTCTTCAGCGATGGGAACGTGAACAAATAAAATTGTCAAATTTGGGACGATACCAATCCACATAGCATCCAAGAGCGTCCAATGCGTCCCGAAGAAGTCACTGTTTGGTGTGGATTTTGGACTGGTGGCGTCATCGTACCTACTTTCTTTGAGAAGAACGTTGGCTCGGCCATCACTGTCAATGGCGAGCATTATAGGTCGACTAACTTCTTTTGGCTTGAATTGGATGATCTGGACACCAACGACATGTAGTTTCAACAGGACTGCGCTACGTTCCACACAGCTCATGAAACATTGGATATTCTACACGAGCGATTTGAGGGCATGGTCATCTCACGTGGAGGTGATGTGAACTGGCCAGCGACGTTTAACGATGTTACGTTCCACACATAATTGCATCAATAGTTGCAATAGTTTCGATGATTTCTCACACACAATTTGTTCCATTTGAATTTAAGGATAGGAAACGCTCAATGAGAGATCCTATAGTTGAGTAAAGGTTAGGAATAGTTTTTAAATACTCACTTGATCTTGACATAAGTAATTCTAATGAGTCTTTTTCCTGAGAATAGTACAGCGAACGGGTCACGAGAGGCAGCACTAGTAGTAAGGACAAACATAAACTATTCACATGTAAAATAGTGTTATTTACGTAATGTTAGTTTATTATTTAAAAATATAAAAAATATATAAAAATATAAATATTGCTATTTTGAGCATTGTACGTCGGATAATCGATATCCGGAAGAAAACNCAACAGCACTAAGAAAACAAACATAAAAAATTTGCCGTAGTTGACAACATAGCTAATGAACACACAGTTATAGTCGTAGAAGTTAGAGGATTTCTAGTGTAGAATCGGAATACCTATATTTTGTTAATATTTTTTTATTACTATATAAATACACTCTTTACCGTTACGGAGATATACACACTTCTTATTATTAATTTTCTTGGGTTTTCCATCAGTTATTCCTGTAATATAACCTATAAACTATTTGACAACATTAAAATTCTGCAGTCTTTCCTATGATGATCTAAGAAAAGATGGAAATAGGTCCTTTAATATCTGAATTTCTTCTACTGAAATCAAGATAAATTTATACTACTAAATTATGTTCGAAGATGAAAAAAATGTTCCCACATTGAATTGAAATTTTCGTCTTAAGCTCATTAGGATTTGTTCCACGAGTAGTCAAATTATACTATGACTTAGTTTTATCTTATCATTGAATGATAAATCTAATGAAGCATATTTTCTGAATAAACTAACGTACATTGTCCACAATAGGGTGTGGAATAACTATTTTATTTTTCAAGTCGCCAATACCACTACTCCGATCCTGTTCAAAGAAAGTAAAAAGTCGAACTCTACCAATAAATCGACGTTCAAATCAGTGAATTTCATTTGTTTTATCAAAACTTTAGTCCGACCTTATCATATTACTCAAATTCATTGATAGCCTAGTTTACTATTGCATAATGCTGGTATGTATTCACTTTGATATATTATGTAGGTGTAGTAATATAGTATGAATTATTTTGCATTCGGATTTGTACTCGATCTTAAAATTCACGTTCGTTACGAGACGATGCTAACTTTAATAATTTGTTGCGAGCGTCTACTAACCTATAGAGATGTGTGACATTGACGACTTCATATTTTCGAAATCAAATTAATGTTTTCTTAGAATATCATACCTTACCCACGTAAGATTTTTTACAAATATTTTAACATTGTTACGTTGCTCAATTAACTTCGTGATAGAATAGGTATAACACATAATATCACATATGTTAATTTCATCAGTTTCTAATGCCGCAGCACAAGAATTGTCACACACGCCAGTGGCGTAACCAAGCAGAATGTTAAGGATGATACTGTGATGAACTAGATAGTTGTCTTCACATTTTTATTCAGAAAAATTTCACTGCATACTTCATTATCTAAATAATGGGTGTGGATGATTTATGTTTTGGAATGACAACAATGAAATGAATTTGTTGGTGGCCCAGGGTTACTATACCGGTCATTTCTTTTATCATGTCGTAACATTGTTATATTCTAACCGTACCAGATACGAAGACGATTAAATGGGAAAAAAGTTAACTGTCATCGGGAACAATACAATGGTCGAAGAGAATTCACGGGGACTCTCGCTTTTCTCGAGTTATACAGGGAAAACCAAAAATGCTGTTTTTCGTTTTTTTCGAATGGAATTGTTATTTAGGAGAATATCAAAAAATGGAAAACGAAAATTTAATTGTATTCGAAGTGTACTATGAAGATNATGTCGTAACATTGTTATATTCTAACCGTACCAGATACGAAGACGATTAAATGGGAAAAAAGTTAACTGTCATCGGGAACAATACAATGGTCGAAGAGAATTTACGGGGACTCTCGCTCTTCTCGAGTTATACAGGGAAAACCAAAAATGCTGTTTTTCGTTTTTTTCGAATGGAATTGTTATTTAGGAGAATATCAAAAAATGGAAAACGAAAATTTAATTGTATTCGAAGTGTACTATGAAGATGTTGTAATAAATATTCGTGTCAACATGGCCACCATCAACTTTTTTTTAAATACCTACCTGTCTTTTTTATTATAGATATTGATGCAGCGATAAATTCAAAATTCAAATGTATATCAGAATGTATATCTATGGCTGGAAAAATGAATGCGTTGTTGATATGAAATGTCAGACGTTTATGAACATATCAAAGATGTATTCGTATGATGAAAGGACTGATATGCTATTTAGTTATGCAAAATCAAATAGAATTCCTCTTTTGGCAAGGAATTTGTATGTTGAGCTATACCCCAATCGTCGTATTCCGAACATCCAAATGTTTAGACGATTAAAAAGAAATTTGAGGGACTATGGTGCATTTGACAGAAAGGAAACAAAAAATGTGTGGTTACTGAAAGTGTGAGGAATCAAATAAATGTTATGGGTGAGAAAATATTACCACATTGTCCAGTTACAAAAATTATGCTAATCAAGATTGTTCTTTACGAGAAATTACCCACGAAATGGGGATTTCTGTAAAATCCACCAGAACTATTTCGAAAAAGAACAAATATAAATGCTACAGGATACGCAAAGGTCTTCACCTCGAAAAAAGGGATTACGGAAGGAGAGTAGGTACGATTTGCGAAGTGGTTAGGATGTAGAAATAGGGAAGTTGAAAATATTTGTAAAAAAATATTATGGACGGACGAATCAAAGTTCACCAACAATGGTTGGTTTAACAGAAGTATCCATTATAGGTGGAATAATACAAATGAATATTTACATATAGGGAAACTAATTTCCAAGTAAGGTTCGGAATAAATGTTTGGTTAGGAATTGTGAAAACAAACAGCATTGGCCCTTTTTAACGATGATCATTTGAATAGTGAAATGTATCTTCATTTCCTATTCAATGAATTCGATGGCTACTTAGATGAATTGCTACTGAATATCCGCCATGAAATACAGTATTTTTAACAGGACGGCGCTCCTCCCCATAATGCAGAAATAGTAAGGAAACATTTAGATGCAATATTTCCAAGAAAATGGATTGGAAACAATGGACCAATTAACTGGCCAGCTCGATCCCCAGATCTTACTCACCTATTATGATAGAAAATTGCCACAGAAATTGTCTGGACCAAAAACTTATGTTCATTCAACAAAGAGGATTTTCCGTATCGCTTTAATTTTTCCTAAAAGTTTATGATAAAATAAATTGTTTTTCTCTTCGATTGTTGCCACTGATGATGGTGTTTATTTCAAATAAAACGCTATAAGAATATTAAATGTGATATACCCTTGGGTTGTCAATTTATCGCTTTATCAATATCTGTAATGAAAAAGACAGGTCCGTATTTAAAAAAAAGTTGATGGTGGCCATGGTGACACAAAACGTTTTATCGAATATTAATTATTACATCGTCATAGTACACTTCGAATACAATAAAGGGTGGGCTGAAGTCAGAAGGGGTTCATCATGGCCTACCAGGATGGTGTCTTCAACACCTCAGTCTACTGCAGTCGCGTGATGGGTACAGTCTAATGCAATCGCTATCTGCATGTCCAGCATATTCACTTTCTGGCCATATCAATCGATGAAACGCAGCCCTTAGAGTGCTTTATTACCACCTACGGTATTGACGAGACACCGTTGTTGCCCTAAGCTCCGAAGGATATTGAATCTGTTGAAGGAAAAGAGAAGTGCTGAATTTATTGGAACTATTCGTTTCCTATCCTCAGGCTGACACAAGCTACGAATATGCCCTCTCTACTCTCGAATCTCAAAATCACGCCGGCAGAAATCTTAGCCGGATAAATGCAGAAACTTGTCATTCTTGGCTCACTTCAGTAGCCCAAACGGTGTGTGGAATGGTCGCTTGCGCACTCTCACGAATGTATCAGAGCTTCGGTGGATAGGGCCTGACCAGCGCAAACTAGGTTCATCAAAGTACCTGACCATCGCATTCATCAGGCAGACTAGGCTGAAGTCGGAAACCGAGGTGTTCATCATGGCCGGCCAGGATAGTGTTTTTGACATCTTGGTTTACTGTAGTCGCGTGATGAGTATAAAGGTTTCTGATATCAGGTGCAAGGTAGCGAGGCGCTTGAGACCCAAATACACTTGGTCTCGACATGCCCAACAAATGCAGTATCAATCAATATCAATTGACATAACGCGGACCTAAGAGTGTTTCATTGCCATATACGCTATTTTTATTGATGAGACATCGATGTTGCCCTACGAACTATTCATTCCAAGCGTTAGGCTCATACACGCTAATAAGACATGTAGTTCTTCTCAACCATCACAGCATGAGGATATTCTTAATGGAATTTTCAGCTCCAGATGAGACGAAAAGAGGAGGAAAAATCGTACTTTTCAGTTGAAATGATAATAATAATGATAAATTGTCTTCATCTATACTCTCGTGATAACATTTATTTACATAATACATTACTGCTGAGACACCACTTAGCAAATCAATATAGACAATACCGTGTACATTGGAAATCATATTAATATTTTTGTATTTTCATAGAAAACATTGTATAGGTAATATAGTATATTTTTCCATAATGGAATGCTCGTTTTTTGGCTATCTTGACTCTATTCAATTGTACAACAGATATTACTAAATGTTACTCCAGAAAAATTTCGTTTTCATACATTTTTATTATCGTCTTCACTTCCATGAAGCAAATATTCATTACTAGGCATACAGTACTAAATTCTGTAATGAGTCAACTGAATACAATACCCCTCTTTTCAGATATTTCGTCCTGCGAATTTTGGAAGGCCTCTCTCATCGATAATAGGAAACTTGAAATATTTTTCTGGTGCTAGTGAAACGAATAATGACCTCATTGTCAACGATTTTGGAGATAAAGGTGTGATCACACTCAACCGACCAAGACACCTGAATGTTGTCACCCTTGAAATGATAACTAAACTCTTGTCTACTTTGTCGAGATGGCAGAGCAACAAGAACTTGATAGTGATTAAAGGTGCTGGCAGTAAAGCATTTTGTGCTGGTGGGGATCTGAGATTTGAAGGAGGAAAGAACGATCTCCATACGTATTTTCAAACGTTCCACAAAACGATATTGACTATATACTCATGTACAGTACCCTCAGTAGCCCTCATGGATGGAATTGTAATGGGAGGTGGGGCAGGGCTCTCAGTATTCACTTCTTTTCGAGTAGCCTCAGAAAAAACAATATTCGCGATGCCCGAAACCAAACTAGCGTTTTTTCCGAATGTAGGTTCACCATATTTTTTACAACAACTCAATGGAAAGCTGGGATTATATTTGGGACTCACGAGTAATTCTTTGAAGGGATCAGACGTTGTCAAAACTGGGATTGCGACACATTATTGTAAGAGTTGTGATATACCCGAACTAGAAAAAGCTTTATTGGAAACCAGCAGCTGTGCTGATATCAGAAGAGTTTTAGAATGTTTCAGCGATAAAAATCTTCCAAAGTTGTCATTCTCTACCATAAGAGATACCATAGATCACTGTTTTGCTGCACCAACTATCGAGGAAATTATTACCAGATTAGAGGAAGATGGGTCGAGATGGGCAACTGAAACTTTGACAACTTTGAGGCAATTTTCTCCAACCAGTTTGAAGGTCACTCTAAAAACATTCGAGTTAGCAAAAACGATGACCTTGAAGGAAAGTTTGAATATGGAATACAGAGTGAACATGAACTTGATACATCGCAGCAGAGACACTGTTAGGGGTAGTATAATTTTGACTCAATGTTTGATAATTTGATAACGGAACAGTGAGCATTTTTCATTCGTACCTTAGAATGGATCATAACCAATTTGAATGTATGTTTGGAGAATTGTTCCATTGAAGAAGTTGTCCTGATGTTGAATGACAAGCAACTGATGCCTATATGCTGAATGATACTAAGGTTGCTTCTTGTAATCATTCCTATATAAGGTTTTATTTCTTTTTTATTAATTTGACCTGATTTACTAACTGAATAATAACTAATTTTTTTCATCGATTTCAATAATTTGCGATACGTAAAAATAATTGGATGTTGTTTATGTTGGGAAAGGAAACAAAAACTTTCGTGAACGAACAATTTGGTTTTTTACCAACGTTTGGGATTTTATCGAAACCATAATCAGGGTTTTACAGTAAAATAATTTAGTTTAACTTGGTAGAAAAAGTTGTTATATATACAACAGACAACATAGGTACGAAAATAAACGGAACGTCCTGTTTGTTCTTCATAACATTTCGAACAATCCTTGCAACTGATTTTATTAATGACGTTTAATTGGATATTAATCGATGTCTGTGTTTTTTTGTTGAATTCAATCTTTCCCACAGTCCACAGTGTTGACATTTGCAAACCCAATTTTGATTTGTGTGTTGCGTACAATTTCAAAATTTTGTCTATTTCCATCCAGAATTGTCCTCATTGAGAAAACAAAAGAACTCACCTGCATTTTTCAAGATTCTAGGTTCAGTGGCTTCTACTGTACGTTATTATTAGAAGGGCAACAGGTAGTAATTTATATCTTTACATCAAAAATACAGTAGCTGAAAAAATTGCCAACAGCACTAAGTAATGAATAGTTTCGAGAACGAATTATGTTATCTATAAAGAAATTCGCAAAATTAACACAACCGTCAATGACATCTGCCCTCATGCGTCTGCTCACGTTCGGGTGGTCCCGTTTTTGGCGATGGCGCTTCATTGCTCAGACCACCTCCTACCCCCGCTCATCGTCCCCCGTCGTCTTACAGTAGACGTGACGCGTAATGGCTTACTGCGTTGGGTCAATTTTATCAATTTTTATTAGAATTTAACAGGTATTCTAAAATTGTATTGTAAAAAAGTATCCAATTTAATTTTATTTGTTGCTCAGTATTTTGCATTTAGTGACTACCATATAAGAGATAGATATATGCTATCGCGGACTTTCATTCAGAAATATTCAAGGTAAACAATCTCACGGTACATTATCTGCATGTAACTCCAACGGTATAAGCATCGCATGCCAAGATAGCCCTCAGAGAGCAAGATTTTTTCGACTTACTTAATACTTATCGTCATATTATGACCAAAATTATCAGTCGTTTAGGCGTGAAAGAGCCTCAAACATACATACATACACACATACATCCATCCTCACAAACTTTAATATTTATATTAGTAAAGATTGCTTTGATAATCGTGCTAAAAATCGCACGTTGAAGGGTTAAACCTCGTTAATCCTTTTCTCGCACAAGTTTCGACTTTCGACAGACAGGCAAATGTTTCGAGAGCTCTTTTGCTTCTAGTGTGCATCAGAAACCAACTTCTATGCATAATCTGGACATCTTTGTAAATAGTTTATTTTGCAATCGATTGCTTATGACAAAACATATTGCTCCCTCCACCTCATAATACGGAGACAGAGCTTATTATAACACATTTACAGTTTTGTTTACGTTCATTTGAATAAGTCATAATAAGTTAATATTTTCTGTGGAAGATGGCATCACTAGGTCTTTTTCATACCTATATGAATTCAAATGTATTTTTGCATGGGTTTTTTAAAATAACCTTATCGGTGAAAAAGAAATTTGACCCTTTTTCAAACAGTAAACTACTTGTGAAGAGCACCGTTATTTTCCAGTCTCACACAAAATTTGAACCTTATGACCTTTTGCGTAAATTTGCTTCTTAATATTTTTTCCATTTGCTGGTTTGCTTTTAGTGTGGAGGTGAAGCTGCGAGTTTTGACAACTGTTATAAATAATAAAAGGACAACACTGTGGTTCTAATTTTCTTTGCCAGCCGTATTCCCCTTCAATAATAAAACCCTGAGATTCTCCGTTTTGGCTCATGCTTTCTTGCTTCTTTTGGAAATTTCCCACATTTTTTGTATAACGACTGAAAAGTAGAAACCCAACACACAACTGAAATGATTACTTAATGAAAAATGTCCCAAAAACTCAGAATTCAATAGTTTGCCTCTACATTAATTTATAAGAGTATTCGAATTTTGCATGCAGTCTGATCTGAGCTTTATAAAGCATCGAAAGTTGCTGAGGTGTGTACAGTTTTCTGGTTCGGAACAGTGTTCCAAGTTTTTGAGAAGCAGCCTTTGCAATTTCCCCAACAATCTTATCTAAGCAGAAAGCGGAATTGTCTGTTCTGACATTATTATTTGTGCTACACTGTTTGGAACCTTGGGTGTAATAATGAATATTACTGGAGTTTTTTCCTAACAACAAACCGTTATTTTAACACCTCGACACAAGTTCCGATCACCAAGTGATCATCTTCAAAAGGAAGATCAAACTAATCAAACTTACAAAGTTATCCTTATTTATACCATAGATACCCCTTCTAGTATCTGCGTCTCAAGTGTCTTGAATTAATTTCACAATATTGCCTCATTCATTATTCTTAAATTAATTTTACAATGTGTCCTTATGAAGTCAGGCAAATCTAATAATTGAAATATTATTTTAACAAGCTATACAGGGTGTAACTGAATAAGTGTAAAACATTCAAGGAGGTGATTCCTCATCGAAAAAAAGATAGGATCTTTCATATATAAAAATTTCATTAGAGCATCCCCTGTTAAGATACAGCTTCTTAAAGGGGGTACATAAAGTTTGTATAACAATTTTTTTCACAAGCACTAAAAAAGTTACAATATTGAAATTAACCTGATGTTTTGTACTACCAAAAAGACACTTAGCCAGTAATTTATTTGGTTTACCCCAATGTAACTTTTTGTCTTATTATTTGTTTATCATTTAAAAATGTATTTCCGATAGCCTGTTTCATTCTAAACAAAAAATGTCTCATGGGTTTTTTGCCCAAAATAAACCAGTTCGCAGCAAAAAAATATTTTNTACAAAACGTCAGGTTAATTTCAATATTGTAACTTTTTCAGTGCTTGTGAAAAAAATTGTTATACAAATTTTATGTACCCCCTTCAAGGGGCTGTATCTTAACAAGGGATGCTCCAATGAAGATACTATCTTTTTTTCGATGAGGAATCACCTCCTTACATGTTTCACACTTATTCAGTTACACCCTGTATAGTATTAGCTATATATACTATTAGGTATTGGTCCACCATCATTATACATAATAGATATTATTATGTTTACTTATTTCTGCACTCTCATAGGCATCTAGATGCCTGTTGTTGTTAACTTGTTTAACTAATTTTAATGAACTGAAGTCTATGGAATGGTTTTGTTGCGAAATATGATGGGCGACTGCTGATTTTTCAGGTATTCCAGTTTTTAAGTGTGCTAAGTGTTTCTTATATCTCATTTTAATAGATCTTTTTGTCTGTCCATAATGCAAAATATGACCTGACGACCTCAACTTGGTTGTTGAAACTCGTGTCGAGAACACTCATATAGTTTTGGTGTCTGGAAGTACTTGTAATGTATTCATTATATATATTTGTTCCCAATTGTAAAAACAAGATACTTATTATCATCAATATAATATTTAAAATCAGTTTCCGACATGAGATTCATGAACTTACACTAGCCAAATTTTCGCTAAAAATTATATATTCATTTATTATTGAAATAAAAGTGTACATTTTCTTTTGCAGCCATATATGCCTTTCGAGAAGGAATAAATGAACAACCAGAATGGGAGCCGCCTACCTTAGCTGATGTGTCTGATGAACATGTTGAGACATATTTTGCGAAATTTCCTGGAGAAGAACCGCTGTGATTCAAAATCCACATTTTATTTTACTCGATTTTTGTATTTTTGAATTTGACAGATAAGAAGCTATTCAACAGATACAGAATCAAATGAACAAATATTTTGAGAATGATTTGATTTGCTTTCATAAACTGAACCATTTTCATAATAATTGGATTGTAAGTTGCAGAATATCACGTTACATTTGACAACTACGAGGCACATTCTTATCAATAGTATTTTATCTGATGTAAAGTTTGTATCTTCTCATGATATGTTTCTCTGTTCCCTCAACAGAGATGCTTCTATGTTGAAAAGATTGGATAACAATAAAAACTCAAAAACACTTTCTAATGATATGTTACGACTGAAAACTGAAGGTCTGTAAATAAATCTCGACAAAATACGTCATCAATTCGTGCATTCGATATGAGTTTACAAACTGGCAAAACTGATGAGAATGAAACGATGTACTCTGAAGAACATGGCAGTTTATTAAATGAATACTTTTATTACCGAAGGATAAACTGGTCGGACTCTATTCCCGAAGCTTCGACTGACTTAGGAGGCACGCAGGCATTATCAACTAATGAACACTCCTCACACCGCAGGGTAAGTGATCATTGGGTCCAAAAATCAATGTCTTATGCAGACGCAATGAGCTGATAATGACAGCCTCTGCATTTTTCCGGCTAAGATTCTTGAGATTCGAGAGTAAAGGGAGCATCATTCCACCAAGAACGCTAATAACTAGAACAACAATTTCAACAGAGTGGTCTGGATAGAGTCTGCGGAGGTCAAAGAGGAATTCTTGATATTTCATCCGATTTTCCTCATCTTTTCGGACGATATTCGTTCTGACCGGGAGCTGAAAACTCCATGACCGATATCGTTTTGCTAGGATGGTCGACAAGGAGAATCAAGAGCTGTTACGCTTGATATTTCTGAAGCCTTTGACCGTGTTTGGCATGAGGGTTTGCTGGCCAAACTTTGATGCTATGACTTGTCGGATCATTTTTGTGTATGACTCTTCAGCTTCTTGAAAAAACGTTACTTGCAAGTGGCCGTCGATGGATATCTCTCGAATACTTTCACCATCAACGCTGGTGTTCCCCAGGAATCCACATTGTCTCCAAACCATATTGTCTCCAACCAAGAATCCAATATATTGTTCTGCAGACGACAGTACACTTGTCTCGTCATTCCATTTGGATTCCAGGACATCGGCTACGGAGGCACATCTTCACCAGCAGCAGGATGTTGCATATCTCAATGAGGATTGAGAAGTGATTTCGAATTGGGGTGAAAGTAATCATGTTCAATTCAATGCAACAAAAACCCAGGCATCGGTTTTCTCCAAGAAGATAAATGTCACCGAACCGGATATAATAATGTCAGGTCAGTCAATTCCGCTTTTTGCTTCGATAAGTTTGCTGGGGTTTGAAATGGACACCAATATGTCTTGGCATAATCATGTCGCTGAAATTGCAATTGTTGTTTCTCAAAAGCTTGGAACACTGTTCCGAACTGTACACACCTCAGCAACTATTGATGCTATATGAAGCTCAGATCAGACCTTGTTTGGAGTATTGTTCTCATGTATGGAGCTTTGCCCCCAAACGTACCCTGAAGTTGCTGGATTCCATCCAGAAAAAAAACCATCCGCCTGATTGGAGAGGCGAACATCACGTGCAACCTTGATAGTCTGGAACATCGAAGAAAGGTTGGAGATTTGTCTCTATTTTATACTTTAACGGAAAGTGTTCAAGTGACTTGGCACATTTGATTTCACCGAGAGCAGTGCATATCAGGTTCAACTCAATACACCTCCAACTTCACTGTTTGAAAACTGTTTCATCTGGAGAACTGCGTTTATGTGGAATAAACTTATTGAGAACGATTTTGCAAACGGATGTTTGTAAATATCGTTTTGTCAATATCGTAAAAGTACCATAGATTGGAATGAAGAGCTCTTAGGATCGCGTTATATTCATAAGTATAAGCTGTGTCCACATATGCTGGACATGCTGATAGCAAGTGCATTATGGTCTCAGGCGCCTCACAGCAGGTCTTGCACCCAATTACAGGAACCTCTAAACCCATCACGCGATGGCGGTGGACTAAGGTGATGTAGATACCATCCTGACGGGACATGATGAACACCTCCGTTGCCGACTTCAACAAAGCGAAGCAATAGTCATGTGCCTTGATAAGCCGTGGTCTTCAATGTTGTTGAGAAATATCCCATGCATTGGCCTATGCTTCTGATGCTCTAGAAGTGAAGTGATCTCTGTGGCTTTTATCTGTAACTTTTGCTAAACAGGTTCCAACTTGGTGACAAAGTTGTGTTCTCCTTGTTAAGCGTCGAAAACTAAACAGCTGCTTCGCAGCTGCCCTGAATACTTCAACTCCCACTCTCTCGTGGTCGCGGAGCATTCAGAGAAGGGAATCTCCTGATGACTTCACAGGCTCCATCCAGTACCATTGTGTCATGTGAACATTCCAAACTCAAAAGTCCACGGTCTTTCACGACAGTTTCGATGACCAAATCTGTCGGAGTTTGTATTGATAGTTGCCGTAGAGTTCTTCACTGCTGTTACCGGAGAGATGCACCCCGATGTGCATCTCTCTAGTTTCTCCGGTGCGAGATGATTCCATCTATGAGCAGTACATCCTTTCCGTAATCCCTGCATCGTTGTCTTTGAGATGGAGTGTTACACATTTGTCTATCCCAAATTTCATGCCGATAGCATGCGCAGACTCCCTTTACGAAGACTCCATCTATGTGATCATCAAAAAATTCCAACCAAAACTAAACAAAACTAAACGATACCAAAACTGAACAATTGTAATGGCGCTCCGTTGCAAAGCCAAGAATGAAAAATTGCTTTCTGCCTCTTTCCGCAGCTTACACTGGAAAAGCAATGAACAGTAAATTAAGCATTATCATGGTTCTATTTTTCGTATGAGAATGATATCGTAATTATGAAGCTAACTGCCATTGAGATATTAGGGCTCATTTACCATGTTCTGGTAATTTAATTTAGTGTTTCATGATGAAGACTTTAAGCTATTTATAATTGAATTATGTAAACAGTAATGTTGAGAATCCAAGATTATCATGATAAATATGTTTAAAATATGTTTTTCCATTGAACCAGCTGCGCACCTCTACGAACAACCACCCTCAGAAGTCGAAACTTGTGCGAGCTACGAACCAAAGAGGTCTTACCCTTTAACGTGTGATTCCTAACACGGGTTGGATGATAGCAAGTGAAAATCTATCGCTTACGGCTTGAACAACCGACTAATACTGCGGTCGACTGAGTGAGTGAACAAAGCATCCACGTCGAACAGATCTGGTTTGTAGAGAACATACAATATTTTATTCGCGAATTGAGAAAAAAAATAATTATGCTTTTGTATATTTGACAGTTGATGAATAAGCAGTTCACTCGTGAATTTCATTAGTTCGGACTTTAATTGTCTAATATGATATAAAATGATTTGAAATCCCTGAGAGAACCAATACAATTAAAAATTGAAAATGAATAGAAAGTGAAGAAAGTTGAAGAGGAAAGAATGCCCATATGTAGTCCGAAAACAGGACATCTACGAAGCCGCCAACTTCATCAACATGAGTTCCCGCCCCCTTACTGACTTAGGGGAATCCTTGTTGAGGAAAGGTCTAAACTTTCCCATTGCGTCAACATATGTACTCACTTTGGAGATAATTACTGCAGTGAAATCCACCAGGCAGGAGAATTTAGATGGAAAATCACGGAACAGCTGGATCGAGAACCAGTTCCAAGATCTAACATCAGCAATGAATAATGTAAGATTCATGGGTTGGGCTACCTATGGGGCGCGTCCCCAGGTGACGGATAGGCGAACGGTCAGGAGACTGGGGGCCCTGCCCGGGAAGCCAATATGTGGCCTTACGGACGGGATCGCCTTACTCCTGGTAAATGGCAGAAATAAGTAGGGTCAGGGGAACTAAAACTCCCCAAAAGCCTTCGAAACATGCCACCGTGGACCAGCCTACCCAAGCTAAGGTGTAAGGAATCGTGCCGACAGCTGAATGGCCGCAGGGTGATCTCCTTGGGGAACCGGGTGAAACCCCATTGTAATCAGCTTTCCTCTGGTAATGCAGGGCTCTGCCAGAGGTGACCAACTCTTCCCTTGCTACTCGTGGGAACATACATATATGAAACAAACAAAACACACATCACAAAAACCAATCCCGAGGCTGGACAGAAGTGATCACCTCAATCTATGGTGGTGGCTGAGGATGAACAGAAATGTCCACCCAAATCTACTGCTCGGAATGAGGCTGGACATAGCAGATCAACTCATGATGTAATACAAAGGCGCCGAGGCCGAAAGGAGAAAGAGAGCGGAAGAGGCAGGAGTAGCAGCAACTGTAAGTGCTGAATAAAGACAAGGAACCGGCTGCCCCTGCAGGAAGCACCCTCACTTGAACACCTCCACTAGGGGAACCCCAGGAAGGTTGTAGAAGCCGCGTAACGACAGTAATGTTGCTGCTGTTTTTTGGCTTTCTACTACTCCATCTTGATACAAAAAACAAGGATGAGGGAATCTTCCACGGAAAGGAAGGAAGTAATCAATTTTGAAATAAGTAACTCTATACATGGATGTGTAGATCATGCAAAGAAGTAACTTTCAGACACAAACTGAAAGAAAGTTCTCCTGAAACAGCTACTTTTATATAAACATATCAGATATCACTCACAAGAGTTCTACTTGAATGACTAGTTAAGGAGAAATACGGAATGATGTTGGGGATGCAGTCAAAATTGCTGGGCTGTTGTTTAAAGAATACTCTTTGTTATATGGTCGAGCGTTCGAGAATGTTTATTCCTTTTAATGTCTTGATAAAGGGATCATCTGAAGTGAGAAAAACTGGTTCAGGAGGCAGTTCAAAAAAACAGCATAAATATTGTCCAACAATATTCAGCGAATCTAGCTTTAAGATACGAAACATATGGAAACCTCCCGCTTAAAACCAATGAAGCGGTGAGAGGGAAGAGGGAATAGTTGACAGTAGTCGAATGACCTACAAATAGTTAGATCTCGAAGAAATAAGTCCAGTTATCACCCGAAGCTCATTGTGGATACTAACAATCGAAACGTAGCGAAGTAACTTGGCTTATGTTTGATTGTTAAATTTTCAATGTTTTGCTTGTATTTTATTTTCCTGTGAGTTCATTTCACAGCTTTTTGCCTAATATTATTGTTATTTTCAATTATTCATTTTCAATATTCAATTTTATTGGTTGTTTCAGGGGTTTCAAATCATTTCATATCATATTAGACAATGGAAGACCGAACTGATGAAATTCACCATATAGTCAACTCGTGTTATTTGATATTTTGATATAGAGAATACATATAGATAATCAGTTTATCCTGTTTATGTTCTGTTCGTATTTCAAAGTTGAAAAATAAGTAAATGAATAAATTGGCCAACTTTTCCACTTGAAACACTCATGCGGTCTGTTGTTCTTACAAATCTACTTACCTGTGATTTTGTTGTCGATAGCGACAACTCCACAATTAACTGGAAACAAATGCTTTCTTCTATTGAGAAGATTGGTGATGGTTTCATTTTTTGCTGCCTTTGTGGGACAACAATACAAATTCAGTCCGCTGTGGCATGGATAGAGGATGCTACTTAAATACTGAGGGTTGCATTGTGACAGTGGAATGCAATCGTTATTTTTTGTGCATTGGGAAGCTTCAGAAGATATTTCTGGAATTAAAAGAATTCAATGAGATGAGGCGTTTCGAAAAAGAAAACACTCACTGGAGACCCGTGAGAAATTAAAAAATATCTTCTGAAATATGATGAGCTTCATTATACTTTTGATGATGTTAACTTCTCATGTCGACAAAACTTAAATTCAAAAGTAAGATGGTCGACAATGGACATATAGGGTTGTCACAAGGTATAAGGCCAGCGGGACCCCTCTAATACCTACTTGCTATTTCTCTAGCAAATGAGATTTGGAAAGTTTTAGATCAATTGGATAATGTTATTCCGTTCATCATTGAGATTTAATTTGAAAAAAAAAACGATTTTTTTGCTAAAAATTGCAATTTTCTTTTCAGAAATTCGATGATAGGAAATGTTGCTATCTTTAAGTTTTACTCCAATCACTTTTTCGTTAAAACGTTTATATTTGAAGATTTCTTTTGTTTTCCAAGTGGAAAATGGCAAGAAAGATATCTAAATTGATCGCTTTCGATCAATTTTTTGTTTCCTTTGAATATTATACATTAAAGAACAATATACAGGGCTATTCAAATTCGTTTATGAGGGTTCTCGTAAACGATAAAAGATAGAGTGTCGGTTGAATCATGGTAAAGTTGCGTATTTCAAATACCTATTCAATGATGTGAAGACATTCAATATATCTCTTTCGGTTCTGGAGATTTACAGGAAAAACCAAATAATCCCAAATTATTTTTTTGTCTATATCTTCTTTATTCGCAGACATGATGAAAATCTGTCCACATTTTGCTATTGACACTTGATGTGGGCTATCAGAATATGTCCATGAATCTTTTATACAAGGTGTCATCTGACTTGGGCCACCCCCATCTTTGAATTTTCAAATACGGACCTGTATTTTATGTTGTAGTTGTTGGATCATAGACGTTCACTTCATACTGAGAAATTACATTTTATTTCATATTTCAGGATGTTTCGGTAATACTTATTTATAATTGGAAAAATTATTTCGCTTTAAATTACGGTCCTGGAAATTGGTTGAGTGAGTTAAATAAAAACGTAATAGCAACTTTCACGTCTCCCTATGTACCATAGAGTTTTTAGAGAGTGTTTTTTCATTTTTAGGAACCTATTCATATTTTTTCATATTAACATTGCTCTGAGCTTTTTCTACAATGAACTTCGAATAAGAAAACCTTTTATGACTATCTGGAACATATCTACAACAAAAATATATTATATGTGTTTTTATGAGCGGAAAAAGAAATGAGCAATAATAACATTCGAAACGAACACAATAATTGTAATGAAAATTGAAATGAAGTAATTTATATACACAAAAAAATCAATAAATAGCACAATAAATGTTCGAATTCGAGTCCTTCCATTTCGAGAAAAATAATGGGCCAATTGGGCCATTGAAAAATAGGATTTACGCTGGCAGAGAGATAGATTGGGGATTTTGAATGATTTCGCAGCAAATAAGTGTACTTATTAAAAGCAATAAATAATATGAAAACCGAGTTAAAAAATGTCTCGAAATGGAAGGACTCCAATTCGAACATTTATTGCGCCATTAATTTTTTTGCATATATAAATTATTTCATTTCAATTTTCATTACAATTATAGTGTTCGTTGCTATCATTGCTTTTTCTGCTTATGAAAACACATCTAAATATATATATAACTCAAAGATGACTGACATAGTGATCTATCAACGCACACCTCAAACCACTGGACGGATCCGGCTGAAATTTGGCATTCAAGTAGATGTTATGACGTAGGCATCCGCTAAGAAAGGATTTTGATCAATTCCACCCCTAAGGGGATAAAATAAGGGATGAAGGAGGATGTAAATGTATTAGTTTGAACGTATCAGTACCTAATGGAACGAATAAATTAAGACGAACAAAATAATTTTTAATTCTAAATGTTGACAATAGATGGCGTTAGTAGTATTTTAAAACGCGCTATTGTTTTGTTTTCACCGAGTTACATATACCCGATGATGAGTAGCTGCCGTATCTAATAGTACATACTATACCTAAATATTTCTAGCTGATTATATTTGACGATTTTGGCTGTTCATTTCTGGNATGGACATATTCTGATAGCCCAATCAAGTGCCAAGAGCAAAATGTGGAAAGATTTTCAATATGTCTGCGAATAAAGAAGATATAAGCAAAAACATATTTTTTTTGTTTTTCCTGTATATCTCCAGAACCGAGAAAGCTGTATTCGATTTTTTTACATCATTGAACTTTGCCACAATTTAACCGATACTCTATCTCTTATCGTTTACGAGATCCCCATGTACAGAAACAAGTTTGAATAGGTATAATTAATTATAAAATGGACATTTTTTTTTCAACTCCATAACTGTATTTACGGATTACAAGTAAGTGGTTACCTATCTGGTACAGCAAGCGCCAAACGTGATGGCGAGCGATCGTGCAGGTATAGATTCTCCCAACTAAATTACTTTTGGATTACGATAAGCCCCTTGCCGGCCAGTTTCGTACCTGTATTTAGTTTCAATTAGGGTAGCAAATGGAACATGACTTCTTCGTTATTTTTTTTCATTTTTCATTTAGTATTTATTTTGTCATAGTATTATAACAGAACAGTTTTTCAAAATGTTATATACATGTTATACACATTTATCCAAAAATAAACTTTTATTAGGCGATGAAATTTTTTCAGAAACAACACAAATTATTCAGACAATGCCAAACGCCAACAGCATTCGAGGACAAGTAATGATACGCCTCTGTACAGATCATTTGTATGTCTTGCAAGAGATGTAGTGGGGGTTAATTTGAAAATGAATTTGTGCGCATGGGGGCGGGCTCGCCATCACGTTTGGCGCTTGCTGTATATAGTTCTCTCCCTTAAAAGGTCAGATTTTTTATAAAAAAGCTATTGTCAAGGATCCTTTTTTCAGAGAAGCCTTACCTGTGTGTCATAAACCACATCCTGCGTTTTGTGTTCCTTGTCTGGGATTCCTGGGGTTTTTCCACTGTTTCTAAAACGTGGGGGAATAGGTCAGAGGGCTTTAGTTAACGGTTGCTTTTCAAATAGTGAACATTATTGAACAACGTTCTTCTGGTGAGTGTTTTTGTGAGGTTTGAGGGACTATGTCTCCTACAGCACCAACGAGCCTTGCTCGTTCGGTTTCGAGTTCAAGGCAGATAGAAATGGTATATTCAATTGGCCACATGTCTCATCAAATCAAATAGTAAATTATCATTCAATTGTCAAGTTTCAAGCACTTCTTTGATTGACGACTTGTTTATTTTCAAGCAGCTTACTTTGCAAAATAAGGCAAGTGTAATTGTGCACCAGAGAAGCTGAAAGAATATCAATATAGGAAATTGTAATTTTTTGGAAGAAAGTTGAGATGTCAACCAGACACTTTGAAGATTGTGTTGTAAAACTGCACGAAGAGTGGAGAAAACTACTAAAAACCCTAATAGATTCAAAAATACAGCTCAAAAATGAAAAAGTAGAAGCTTTCGAATCAGCCGTTGATGACCTTTTTGATATTGCTCATCAGAATACACAAAAAACACAAGCAGGTTTTGTTACTCCAGAGAAAAAAAGACGTCCAGGCTGCATGGGAGGCGTTGACGTGAATTTTGTAAATGAAGAACAACGAAAATAAAAGAAATGAGCAGCAGAGTTGATAGTGGGTTGATAGAGTTTTTCTCCCTTTTTATGTTTTTTCTATTCTTTTTCACTTTCGAAATTGACTTGAAGCCTATTTCGTGAGTGCTTTGCTTACTGCTTGTTACCGCTTTATTGTTTTATTTCAGAAGACGTACATTTAATTGCACAACTGGAATCTTCATCAAGCAGCACATCAGAAGAAGAGGAACAAAAAGAGATGGAGATGAAGCACCAGAGAATGAAGTACCAGAAATAAATGAAAAGAAGTTCGCTAGAGATTATTACCAAAAAATTGTCTTTATGTCTTTGTTAGATAGATGTAAGATTTCAGATAGAGACGCAGTTCGAATAATATTAAGTACTGCAGAGGCATTAGGTTTTGACTCACAGAATTAAATTGCAAGTAGAAGTTTAATACAACTACGCAGGCAGCAAAGCAAAGGACCGAGCTTATCAAATATAGATTCAAAAATTTCAACTAAAAAGAAGCTGTTGTGCACTGGGACTGAAAATTACTTGCAGATATTTTGAGTAAAGGAAATGTAGAAAGGGTAGCGGTTTGGTCAGTTGTGTGGATGGAGAACAGTTGATAGAAGTTCATCAGCTTGAAAATGGTATGGGAATTACTCAGGGTAAAGCTGTATTATCAGTAGGGGACAGTTGAAAAAATCCAGGCAATGTGTTTTTATATCACTAGGGTGAATACTGGTCGCCTCAACGGAACCTGCGTTTTGTTGGAGCAATTATTTGGGAAAAATTTTATTTACCATGTTGCCACCATATTGAATAAATGAAAACTTAATCCAAGACTTCAATTCCTGTTTGACAAAAGAAGAAGAAAAAGTTGTTTCGGAATGTCGAAAAACTTTTCCGGACTCTTCAAAAGCCACGTCATCTAAACCAATACCACCTCAATCTGATAATCAATTGTGGAGGTAAATAGTAAGAATAACTTCTTTCTCTTGAAAGGCTTCCTTTTAAATATTTGGAATAATGGAACCTTGGACATTATTTCTTCTTGTTTTCAATACCTTTTTGTTTTTATTTTCTCCTGAATACATCATTTTCAATTTGGATTGTGCTGGATTTACTTTGAAAACTATTTCAACTACACCCTTTGAGAAAATGAATAAAGTAAAATCTGGACAGCAGATGTAATTGAATATTGCAATATTGTTCGGTTTTTCATTGAAAAAAAAACATTTTTTATAAAAAGTAAAAACTTCAACCTTGATGAGGCACGGGTTAACCTTATCCAATTGAGCTGAAACTTCACCAATCTCATTTCTTAGTCAATTGGCAGCTTTTAGGGAGATCCCCTCAAAAAAATTCCAATATTGATTTTTTGTGACCACCCTAATGGACAATGTATAACGAACCTAACTGCGGAAGACCTACTCAATTTAATGCCCATTTGAGTTGAAATTAATCATCGATAACGATATGAAAACTATAAAATCGGTGATTTTGATATGAATTTGACTCCGAGATCAAAAAAGACTCACATTTTTCATAAGGAGTTCCTTCAAATATTTTAGTTTTGGTATGTTATTTTCTATGATTAGATCATTTGTTGTGAATGAGTGAAGTATATTGATTTTCTGGAAGAGATGAATTTTCTCCCATTAGTATTCTGAATGTGATTGCTATCAGTAATTTCGATTAATCACTAATAATAATTAGTCGTGCTACGTTTTGTATAAAATTTTTCAATGAGATCTATAATGAATTTGTAACGGATGAAAACAATAGAAATAATTTTTAAGATCCACTCACCACTGACAAATAATGCAGACAAGAAAACACGTAACATCAACAGAGCCATTTACACGTTCTTCTTGGAGTAAACAGCACGAGAAAAACGGTTTAGATTTTATGCGAAGTGGCACCTGAGTTCAAATGAAGCGCATGTGCAATAAGACAATTTTTATGAGACGAGTTTTGATCATAAGAACTCATCAGACGTACACTAATTATCAATTCAACTGCATACTGCATTCCGAAAAGTACTGTCGAATGATTTCAGCAACTTGTTTGCAAGATCAACCGGTATTGTTTTATTCTGAGAGATATTCAAATTGGGTTTAATCGAAATGAAGATCATTGAATCCCAAAAATGAAAAAACAAATAAGGGAAAACAAAAGTATTTACTGCAACAGGTAAATAACAAAAATGTTCAGAATTTATCAATCCTGAATTGAACTCTTACTTCTGAAAATGAAAAACAAAACAATTTTATATTTTTGGAAAACAAAATATTTGATTTAAATTGAAAAGGGTATACTTTTGGAACCGATTTATTTTTGGGAAAGAAAGGTTTTGGCTTTCTACTTTCAATGACAGAAAGAAAGCAATCAATTTCACGAAAGTAAACTCTATAAAGAGTTTTATCTCTTCCAGTTTGTGCATGAAAGTTACTTCTTTGCATAATCTACACATCTTCATAAAGAGTCACCTTTATTGAAACTGATTGCTTCCTTCCCTTCTTCAGAAGATTACCACATTTTTTGAATCAATATGAAGCAGTGGAAAGCCAAAACTATACTTTCCTAAAAATTAATATTTCCTGAAAATTTGCCCCTTTCAATTTGAACAAAATTCCTATGCCTATGATTTCATCATTAATGTCATTACGTACTGTCACCGATGACATGAGTAGATTGGAATCATTCCGTGTCACAAAGTCATTATTTGGTACTGGAGAGCTGATAAAATAAATGTTTTACGGNTTGGGGTATACGATTGAAGATTTCTCGTAAGGTTTCTTCCCAAATATTGTTATCATATTAAACTCTGTTTTATATCGTTGCTGCTCATCTATTTCAACAGGGATGAAATCATTCGGCTGCCCTTTCAACTCAGCCATGTGATCGCATTGGTATTCTTCTTTATCTTCGTCTGGAATGCTATTGAAAATTGGGTTGACGGCAGTCCATGTATCTGGAAAGAAAGATGATAATACATAATAATATCTTGATACTCTTTTCACAGTATATCCAAAATTTCACATCCATTTTACCTAGTATCTCTAAAAACAATGCAACTTTCTAACTATTCTCAGTTCACAGTTTCCATACTTTTGAATTCCTATTTTAATTATTGCTTTTTTATCGATGACATCGATATCGGCTATTTCAATAAAGAACCACTGAATTTATCGACATCAGACGATATAAATATAGTCTACAAGTCGTTTTGGGATCACGTGAGATACTGCTTCGAGATCACACATCCGTTAAAAAAAATTAAACTGAATACAAATGATACAAAAACAAATTTCATTATGCCTCAAGAATTGAAAAGTGAATTCAATTAACTAAAATACCTAAATTGGCTAAGAAAGCAGCAGGATGAGAATATCTATGATTACTATAAGAAAGCTAAACAAACCTTAAATGAAAAGTTTGAATCAGAAAAGGAAATTTTTTACAGCAATCTTTTATTGAATGCTGCGAACTCTACAAAAAAATTATGGGAGTTAGTGAATTTGAAACTAGACAAAAAGAAAGTTTTGCATAACGAAATCACCATCTGCTTAAAAAACGAAATTATTGTAAATAAATGCCACATCGCAAACCTATTCGCAGATTACTTTGCAAACTCAGTAAATGATAAATATGCTGATCAAATGCCCAGTGTCGAAAATTGCACATTACCCGAAACTAATAGTAACTCATTCTTCTACGAACCATATGAACAGAACGAAGTAATGGACATCATTTCAAACCTGAAAAATAAAACCTCCTTAGGATATGACGAGCTACCAACAGTGCTTATCAAAGCCTGTCGGAATGAATTCAGTTTCTATATCACTCAAATTATAAATATGACAATGAGAGTTGGTCATTTTCCAAATATTTTGAAAATATCAAAAACCACCCCAGTATATAAAAAGGGTGACCCTCAACAAATTGAAAATTATAGAGCAATCACGACATTGAGTCCAATAGCCAAAGTAATTGAAAGAGGAATCTATATACGCTTAACAAATTTTTTGGAGAAATATAACATTCTCTCGGGTCGTCAACACGGGTTTAGAAAAGGGTTATCAACCCAAACTGCAACAACTGAGGTCACCCAGTATATATATAGCAGTCTTGATAATGGTGAATATGTTCTCGGTATATTCTTTGATTTAACGCGGGCTTTCGATACGNCATTTATTGCGCCATTAATTTTTTTGCATATATAAATTATTTCATTTCAATTTTCATTACAATTATAGTGTTCGTTGCTATCATTGCTTTTTCTGCTTATGAAAACACATCTAAATATATATATAACTCAAAGATGACTGACATAGTGATCTATCAACGCACACCTCAAACCACTGGACGGATCCGGCTGAAATTTGGCATTCAAGTAGATGTTATGACGTAGGCATCCGCTAAGAAAGGATTTTGATCAATTCCACCCCTAAGGGGATAAAATAAGGGATGAAGGAGGATGTAAATGTATTAGTTTGAACGTATCAGTACCTAATGGAACGAATAAATTAAGACGAACAAAATAATTTTTAATTCTAAATGTTGACAATAGATGGCGTTAGTAGTATTTTAAAACGCGCTATTGTTTTGTTTTCACCGAGTTACATATACCCGATGATGAGTAGCTGCCGTATCTAATAGTACATACTATACCTAAATATTTCTAGCTGATTATATTTGACGATTTTGGCTGTTCATTTCTGGCCATATTTTGGATTGCATTTGCTTTGTTTCGGTTTAGTAGTTTTGGTTATAAACTCTGCTTTGTATTTGGCATTTGTTTTGTTTTCGTTTGGTTTAAGTAGGTATAAGTTTTGTCGGTTAGACTTTTTTAAAATGGCCAAAGAAAATCTGAACGTTAATGGGGAAGTTGAAGAATGTTATATCGTTGGTGACGGTGCATGTTTGTTTCATGCTTTCTCTTATTTAATGTACGGAACACAAGATAGAGTGATGGAGGTGCGTTCAGAAATTGTCAGATATGTGGTTAATGACTGGAGTAAGCTTTCAATTATGACCCACGACAGGAATGGTGATAACTACGTAACACCTGACGAATATTTTGCTGATATGATGAAAAATGCTACTTATGACGGATTTTGTGAGTTGATAGCAGTAGGATTAATATTCTCATTCAAGTTTGAAGTTTATAGAAACGGTCTCATATATACGGAATCTGGATCTAACGACTATCCGATAAGGCGATTACGATTCAGCAAAGATTTGTCCAGTGGGCATTTTGATGCCTATCTTCCCATGGCAGCACAGAAAATTACTCGGCGTCGTATGGAGGAAGCTGTAGAAGAACATTATTTTGGAATTGATACACCTTTGCAACTTAAAGTTGATGAGGGTTGTCAGGAGGTACCTGTTTTAGACCGTGAACATTCACCTATTTTATCTTCAATAAATTATGATGAAAATTCAATAAGAAGTTTATTGTCCCAATCTGAGTCTGTGACATCAATATAAAAAAAGAAAAACAAACGTAGGGCAAGGTTTACTAATTACACACGAAAACATCAAATAAAAAAGGCACAAAAAATATGGACAGACTCTACCTGAATCCCACCGTAAAGCTGTGTTTGAATATAAGAAAAAAAAACCCTGATGTACAGAGGCAAGCTGTCGCCACCTACCAGGCTGCACACCCTGAAAAACAGGCAATCTGTCGCCACCTACCAAGCTGCAAACCCTGAAAAACATAGGCAATCTGCTGCACTATATCAGGCCAGGAATACCAATGTGCATGGAGTGATTCAGTCACGGTATGGAGAAAATACAATTCAGCATGTATGGAGAAGCAAGTTGCTTTCGAGTTTTGCGTATGACCCAGATATTTCTTATGGAACTGACAGCAGTGTAGTCTTAGGTTCTATGACGTACAAGCGTCAGTGGTGTAACGCCTTGAAGTGGAAAGATGAGACACCTGGCATGTGTTATAGCGCCGGTGAAGTACAACTTGAGCTGTTTAAACAAATGCCTGAACCACTTTACAGTCTGGTTAATGATTTACACCCAAATCATGTACACTTCATAGATAATATCCGAAAATATAATACCTGTTTTCAAATGACTTCCTTTGGTGGAAAACAAATAAAAGAAGGCGGCTTTTCACCAACTTTTAAAGTTCAAGGACAAGTCTATCAATTAATTGGAAGTATATTACCGGAATCTGGGCAGGATGCATAGTTTCTGCAAATTTATTTCGTCGGTGAAGATGATGGAGAAGCAATAATGCAACAAAACCATCCACCGTGAATCAGCCTGTATAATTATATATCAAATAATGTAAAAGAATTATCGCTGACAATGAATGCTTTCTACAGCCTTCAAGAATTTGTGACCTATCGCAAAAGTACCTAATTTATGTTAATACTTGTATGTAAGTATGCCCCTGTATGAATATTGTATTTTCAAAATATAATTTATTGAATTTCTAATTTTTTAAAAAATGATTAACAATTTGCTACTAAGTGTAATATGACTTGCCATATCTAAGCACAGCTTGGCTACAAATGGTTAATAAAGAATCTGAATCTGTACAACAATAATATCTGGACGGCAATAGTGATATCTGAAGTGTCTCACAAACCGATCATGTAATGTGAACTACTCTTCTTGACGAAATATTTGAATTGATCTCATTTCCCAAATAGTGACTAGAAATAATAATACACATAAAGAAATCACCGAGTCACATTCATTGTTCATATTTCAGATTGTAATTACTGAACTATTTTGCATATTTCGAGATGTCACTAATTTGAATGTGAAGATACGCCTGTAGAACCTATAGCGAAGCAAATGTAGCGTTTTTGTTCAGTGAAAATCTTATAATAAAGTGTTTCTTGAATATGTGAACTGGCATTATGACGGCTAATAGAATAGTCATGAGTTATGTAAGGTATTAGTGGTAGCGATAAGGAAAAAGGAATGAGTATTCATTCATTAATGTTAGTTTCTAAATTCACAACAGTATAGAATATCCAGCTAATTACCTGGCTCATGCAAATAGTACAGGGCCAACAGGATATGAAAAATTATTTCACTGATATATGCTCAGTGCATCGAAAGGTTCTTACTCGAATTTCACTGATGAAGAAATGTACAATATATTTCAAAAGGCATTAAAGGAGAATTGAATGAAAATAATTACTGAGAATCCAGATGTTGTTATATCTGAAGAGGCGATCATTCAATAAGAAACTGAAAAGAGTCTAACATTCTCTGGTTTGGAAAACCGTCTTCGTGAATATTCGTACAATGAAAAATTTTCAAATTGATTTGAGCATTTTATTAACTTTAATGAAAGAAATTAATTGCTTGGAAAGTGACATCGTTACACTGTTTAATGGGTATCTAGATGTTATATGATGAATTTGTTTATATAGAATTTAGTTTGGATGAAGTATCTGATCAAATAAATGTTAATATTGTTAGGACCATTTCGGTTAATATAATTGTTATTTTCAGCTATTCATTTTCAATTCTTCTTTTTTAGTTGTTTCAGGGATTTCAAATCATTTTATATAGTAGACAATGGAAGTCCAAACTAGTGAAAGTTTGTTGGGGTTGAAATGGACACCAATATGTCTTGGCACAATCTGTCACTGGCATTGCAAAGGCTCCTTCTCAAAAGCATGGAACACTGTTCCGAACCAGAAAACTGTATCACACCTCAGTAACTCTTGATGCTTTATAAAGCTCAGATCAGAACTTCTTTGGAGTATTGTTCTTATGTATGGAGCTCCGCCCCTAATAATACCCTGAAGCTGCTGGATTCTATCCAGAAAAGAGCCATCCACCTGATTGGGACGCGAACATCACGTGCAACCCTGAGAGCCTGGAACATCGATGAAAGATACTTTCACGTAAAGTGTCCAAGTGACTTAATATATTTCATTCCACCAAGAGCGGTACATATCAGAAATACGCTACGGACTGTGGCTGCTCATCGTTTTGAGGTTCAACTCAGACCCCTCGAACTTCACTGTTTGAGAACTATTTCATTGAGGAAAGCCTTTATGTGGATTCAACTTCCTGAGAATGTGTTTTAAAATGGATTTGATCTTCAACGATTTGACTCGCTACTTTCGCACAGGCACCATTTTTAGAGCGTCTTAAGGATTTTCATGTATTTAGTGATTGTGTTTTGTACTTAAAAAAAACGTATTTTTCTAGAAAGTGTTACATACCTACGAAGTCTTTCTCATCGTCGTATAAAAAGTGCGTCTCATCCAACGAAAAAATGCAATCTTCAAATGGAGCAGATTTTTGCACAGCGTCTTTCCATGCATCATATGAATTATTTGAATGGTGAAAAGGAGATATGAAGAATTCATGTCCATATTTTGCCCACTTTTCATACTTCGACAAATTTTTGTAGGGCTGGTCGAAAGGATTCCTCTCCATGAATGTTATAAACATCTCTCCTCCAGGTTTCAGCATTTTGTGAATGTTCTTCATAGCTTGCCTGCATGAAATATATTGATAAATGATTCAATTTTAGCATTGTGTGAAAAAATAAGCCAATGAACTCAATAATCACTTTGCCAATTATTTGATCGAATGTTCGAAGTTGGTTTTAGGACAGAAACGTATTGAGGTGAGTCACACGGTTTTCCAACACTTTCAACTATCGCGAAAGTTGGTACCAACTTTCTTAATTCAAACATAACACCCTGCATATTTTAAAATACCTGGCATAATTAATGTGAATTTATGTAATAAACCTTATACCAAAAATATTCCTTCGTTTACTGAAAAAAACTAGGTGTAAATTCAAAAGTTTGATAGATTACATACACGAGCTATTATTCATTAATCAAAATACCTAATTCCATCCGCTTGTAGAAGTAATATTTCCAAAATGTTATACAAGGTGTTCAGAATTGATAACGAATTCTGAAGATATAAAAATGGGCCAATACTCGGTTTTTCCAAATGGAACACCCTGTATTTCAGGATAGTTATGAAATTCCTATTGAAAAATTGAAACATGTGCATATCCACCATAAAAGTACGGGCACGAAACCTTCATTTAGAACAGTTATAGAAAGTTCATTGGAGCTATAAATTTACTGTTATGATTTTTATTGAAGAAAGGAGTTCAGATGAACAAATAATGAATCAGAAAATTATTGGAATATTATGAATTAAGTTTTATATTTTGTGTGAAAACAAAATAGAATATATTCAAATTTTCGCTTATGAAACATTTAGCAATGAACATGTTTTAATTCCTCATGTATTCATCTGGAATCCAATTTTCCATAAAAACCATAACAGCAAATCGAAAGCTCCAATAAACAATTTAAAATGAATATTTTGAAGACCCTAGTTTTATGGTGGACAGGCACATGCTTTATTGTTTCAAGATAAACTGAAATATCTCGAAAACGGTTGATTTTTGTTCCATGTTCCATAAAAATGAATGAAAATCATCTCAGAATTTGGAAACTATCGTAAAATACAGTTCTATTAGTTATTGATTTCGAATACATTCTATATCATTTTGATAATGTTACTACTACAAATACGATAAGTATTTTGATGAATCAATTATAGGTTATTCAAACTTTTGAATATTTTGGTGGAATAAATCGAGAGCTAAATACCTATTAACAGATGAATATTCTGAGAACTGAGGAAAATTAAGGTTTTCAATATCCTTTTGTTATTTGTGCTATAGTGAATCTACAGAAACCATTATTCAAGGATCAAAATAATGGACCCAAACAAAAATGACGTTAACTGTGAATTAACAATATTTCTAATAATATAATTTCAAATTGATTTGAGCATTTTATTAACTTTAATGAAAGAAATTAATTGCTTGGAAAGTGACATCGTTACACTGTTTAATGGGTATCTAGATGTGATATGATGAATTTGTTTATATAGAATTTAGTTTGGATGAAGTATCTGATCAAATAAATGTTAATATTGTTAGGACCATTCGTTGCAATATGATGCCATTATCAGTTGCAATTATTTAAACATTTAAGATTTGGCTATTGTAAAATTTGGTGATCACATAGATTTCGAATGCATATTAGAGGCAAATCTGAGAAACTGATGTCTTTCAACCCAATCGTATGTCAATTCGAGAAAAATATGTTCTCTCTTCAGAACTTCTTGATTACAATACTTTTGGGAAGTCTAGTACAGTCTGCGTGAACCCAGTTCTCCAAGTGAAAAGAAATCAGACGAGCTTCAATCATTCAAAGCAGGAGGGTTATTATGCTGGCATTAGTCTAGGGTCTAGGTCAAACTGCACAAACTCTCTAAGTTTCGGTGCATTGTTGCAGCAGTAGAAACATAAAGAGTTCAGAACGTCTCCTTGTGCCTTATTAGGCCGTTGGGAACGTGTCCCTGTGCCGTGTTTGGCCATCGGTAACATGTCCATGTGCCATGTTGGGCCGTCTGGAACGTGTTACGTGCCGTGTTGGGCCATCGGGAACATTTTCCTGTGCCATGTTGGGCCGTCGGGAACGTCTTTCTGTGCCATGAGAAGGTAAAAGACTTTTAGTCTCGAACCTGCAGTACTTACTAAAAAAATCGAATCCCTGAAAAAACATTGAGGGTTCTGGTTTCTTCGAACAAATGAAATAATTATCGGAAAATTTTTTTTTGGTTTCAGTTGAAATATAGTAGCCATCATCTGGTCAGGAATGTCCGAGTGTGAACTGGCATTATTGTCGAAGATGTCGATGGAGACAAATGATGGCATATTTCGATGACACATTGTTTCTTTTGATAATTTGAGTAGCTCTGAGTTATGTAAGGTATTAGTTGCATCGATAGAGAAATAGGAATGGTTATTCATTCAGTATTGTTTGTTCCTCGACAGAGTACAATTCGTTGAATGTGGTGCGTTACTCAGTTGCTGTTTGAAATGGTAGAATAGTATACTGGGTGTTTTATTTGAAAATATCAAGTTTTTGATATTTGAATTCTGTCAAGTTGATGCCTCTGTAAGAAATCTCCTGTTTGAGGAATGTAATTTTCAGTCCATATCGACATTGCGTTCCGATATTGGTATTGCATGTCTCAAATATTTCTGCGGACGGTAGCCTTTCGGTTCGACGTGGATGCTTTGTTCACTCATTCAAATCAACCGCCATGTTGGTCGTTGGTTCAAGCCCCCGGCTGAACGATCGATTTTCACTTGCTATCGTCCAACCCGTGTTAGGAATCACACGTTAAAAGGTAAGACCTCGTTAGTCCTTAGCCCGCACAGTTTATATATTATGACTATGTTTGTTTGAATATGGTTAACAATGTTTCTTGGCGAATATTACAGATTCGGGCCTCCATTGTCCAAAAACTGTTGAAATTAAAATAAAAGTAAAATGTCAATTATATGTGAACCAAACGAAATTAGGAAATAGTGAAAGTAAATGATGGAGAATGCAAACATATAAAGAAATGAAAGAAATAATGAGAATAATCCATGACACCAGTTATGTTTTGCAGTCTCCACATGATATGTTCGATGAAACAAAGTACAGTTGAAGAATTCTCTCCACTATCTACTCCTGAAAAACTAACATTAGTTGAATGAATAAGATGAAAAATGTTTAACTGACATTTAGGTTCACTGAAGTCGGTATGATTGTTGATGTATGAAGTATATGTATTTGCAATGATTGACACATTCCAAGGAAGAGGCTTGATTAGCGGAACAAAAAATGTGCATCAGATCTGACAAGAAAGTGTCTGCAGATAGGGTCGTTAGCAAAAAAAATAAAGTTCAGGTAAAGATGAGGTGTGAAGTGGTAGAAATTACAATTTTAGGTCATGTCGAGATAGAGCGTGATACTTATTACTGCTGCATACACATATAGGAAAAAATGCAGAGGGGTAGGTTAAACAAGAAAGCGTAGTTGGCGAGAAAGATAGACTTTCACACCGAGTTGAATGTCTAAAACAAAACAAATTTCAGTTCTGTGATAGCTACTGCTACAGTAATTTCCATTGGTATAACCGATTCATACTTAGTGCAGGAATTTTATTCATATTTAATTTCTTGTGAATAATGGATGAAGAGAAAAAACATGGTGGATATCGTTGTTTCTCCAAAGACTGTAAAAGTTTGGACTTCTCGGATATAAGAGAAGATATGAAACCGAGTCTGTGAAATTTCATAGGATTCCACAAGATCAAATAATGTTAGTATAATATGTTTCATTACAGTGGTTAGGTTAGGTTAGGTCAAAAGTGAGCCTCCATCGCAACCCGCAACCATCGCAACCATCGCAACCTAGCTTCTTAACGAAGCCGATTTGTTTATGTGGTTACTAATTTTTCAGGTCGGTGTGGTTCTGCCAAATTCTGAAAACCTGATTCGGTCTGCAGTGGAGCAGGCACAAAGTATATGCTCTGCTATTTCATCTTTTTCGAGACATAGGTTCGCGTCTCTGCATATGATGATTCAGACGACAGTGACCTGTAAGTTACTAATTTTTCAGGTCGGTGTGGTTCTGCCAAATTCTGAAAACCTGATTCGGTCTGCAGCGGAGCAGGCACAAAGTATATGCTCTGCTATTTCATCTTTTTCGAGACATAGGTTCGCGTCTCTGCATATGATGATTCAGACGACAGTGACCTGTAAGGAGGCCTGTTAGGCATAGCAGTTCATTCCCGCTGTAGTCCAACAACTGTTTGGTTTCAAGCTCCGAAGGGTGAATGAACGCCTTGGAGTATGCCAATCCTGGGGGATTTTGCCAGAAGTTCTTGAATCTTTCTACCATCTAGGTGTTCAATGTTTGTTTGGCAAAACCAATAGCGATGCCGATGGCAGGTTTTGGTCCGATAAAGCTGTTTACAGCACCATCCTTTGCAAGGGAGTTAGCAGCCCCATTGCCTTTCAGGCCATTGGAGCCAGTGGCCATTACAGTGGTTCAGATAGTATCAGAGAAATAGTTTTTTGTCCCTGAAACTAAGAAAATGTTGAATAGCTAATGTAGTATTCAGGAATCAATATAGTCCTTCTCCTGATGGCAATAAATTAGTTGTTGGAACTTGTGAAAATAACTGTTACCGTTCTTAATTGAAGTGTAATAGTCCTCAGATGACTTTCATTAAAATATATTTCATTTAATTGGGGTTCGAATAACTGAATGTAGATATTTGCCTCCTATCTGTGGAAATGGAAAACGTCGTTAATCCATCTTGTGAACAATGTTCGTGAAATTCTTTTCGAGAACTGACAATATATTGCTTTGCTGACGACAGCACACTTGTCTTGTCATATTTAGATTTCAAAAATGCGGATCCACATCTTCATCGGCAGAAGGAGGTTGCATATCTTAATAAGGATGAAGAAGTGATTTCGAAATGGGGTAAAATAACTAGGTTCAATTAAATGCCACAAAAACCCAGGAATCGGTTCTGTCCGAGAAAATAAATGTGTCCGAACCGGAGACAGGTCAGACAATTCCGCTTTCAGCTTCGGTAAGTTTGTTGGGGGTTAAAAATGACACCAATACCT